CACAGAGGAGCCAAAGATGGCCACACCTCCCTTCAGCAAACGGTGGGACTGGGAAAGACAGCCACTTGGGGGACATCTGCGTTGGGCAGGCCAAGAAAGCAGAGTGGGCCCTGGGGCTCTTCCACAGGCCCACTCCCTCCTGCCCCTCCAAGGGAGATGAAGCAACCCAAACAGTCCGCCACATCGGGCTCTAGAGTCCTGACTTTGCTACTGGGCCAGGCCTCTGGGGGTCAGAGCATGGATGGGCAACAGCCAAACTCTCGGCAATCCATGGCTAACGTGCTTCAGCCACTTTGATCCGTCAGAGGTCGCACGGCTCTGCTAGAGAACACTCGGCCTGTAGCTTCATGCGTTCACCAGAGATGCGCACCGGTCTCATGAAATTCAAGACCCAAGTAAGAATGCTTCACTGCAAGCTCCAGGACCCCATGACCCGGTGGGCGTAAGAGGCATCAGAGGGTTCTGGGGGCTCCTATGTAGCTCCGGTGTTCTTCCAAGGAAGCAGCAGTTCACAAAAGGCTGTTTCAGGACCACGGAGAGCTCCTAGGAACAAAAACCCGAGAGGCCTACCAGTCCCGCCAGTTGGCGCCAGTTGAGCAGAGAAGCGGGGGCGAGGCCGGTGGCAGGTGTCCCCCACTCTGGCACAGGCTCCTCGGCATTCAGCCCACTCCCTGCTGCATCTGTTCTGCCCCAGTTCTGCTCGCTTCCCTGGCCGGATCAGCTGGAGGTCCTGGAGAGGGAGAAACAGGTGTCCTTCTGCCATGGCGTCTGCCTCTAGCAGTGGCTGCCTTTTGTGGGACATCCCTCGGGACATCACCGTGTTCCCAAGCTGGCAGTGAGTGTGGCTGGAGCGCCAAGGGCCCACCTGAGGGCAGCGGGAAGATGCTGGCTGGCCCTCGCCTGTCCCAGCGCCACAAAGCGGCAAGCCGTGCTCCCTGCCTCCGCCATGACCCCTCCTCCATGGTCAGGCAGCTGCAGCACCTCATGGAGCTCCCCGGGGAGAGGATATGACCCTCCGGGGAGCTCCAGCCCCAGGTTTGTCCCGGAATGCCCAGGACTGCTCCGGCGCGGAAGCTCCTCTGTCCCATCTCACAGCCCTGGAGATTCCCAGCATTGTCCTCATTTCTGGAGGAGCAGAAAGGGGCAGCGCTTGTGCCACTGGTTCATTGACGCCGGCTGGGCTGCTACTTGATGATGCATTATGTTTGTAATTACAGTTAGCCACCCTGAGCAAATGTTTAAAATAAATGCAGATCTTCAAAGTAAGTGCATCCTATAACTAGCTCAGTGGAGCATGGGGTACATTTCCACCGGAAGCCCCCGCCCCTGGCCGGGCAGACGCATCCCACTTGATTTCCAATAAGAGGCAGCCACAAAGGAGGAAGGATGCCTCCACCATCCATTAGCAGCCATCGCTGACACTTTTCACAGCCTGCCTCCCGTTCCTGGGCAGCCGCTGCAAGCCGGAGAGCAGCACGTTGCTTGAGATTACAGTCATTCTGTTTGCCTTTCTCCACAGCAGATCAGATGATTTAAATTAGGCCTCGATTCTTGTTTAAATTATAGTTTACCGTTCTGCACCCTGCTCAGAAGCGAATTACCTTAAGCAGCAGTATTAATAACACGGTTATAATTAAGCTTCATTACTGTAGGCAGTTTGCTGAAACAAATTGCTTCTTCATTATTATTATGGCACCTTTGGTAAAAAGACGATTCCCCCAGAATGCGACCTTGATGCTTTATATAGTAAAAGCCAAGCTCGGGCAGAGTCGCGAGGGTGAATTAGCATCCGTTGCCTCCTATATCAAAGCTCATTAAAAGCAAGGCAACTTGAGTCGCAACCAGGAAGCCCAGTAGAAATTTTAATCTGTGTGAAATGGATAATGAATAGGTTTGAACTTTCCCTGACATTTTTATACTGGTGCTTTATTTATATTATATATATATATATATATATATATATATATATAGAGAGAGAGAGAGAGAGAGAGAGAGAGAGAGAGAGAGAGTGCTTGGTGACATTTGGTGGGAGGTGGGGTAGATGAGAGAGAAGGGGCCCTTCACAGGCCCCGCAGCCATTTCCTTAATTTGGGCACCCCGTTTCACACATGCCGTTGCACCTGCTGAATCCAGATGAGCCACACTTCCCCTGCCTTGTGAAGGCTGCAGCCCTCAAGTGCCTTACTAAGAAGCAAGACTTCTCTGCGCCTCCTCCTCACCATTTCCGTTACTATGATTAACTTACTTATTTCATTCTTATACTGCCTAATGGCCAGATCTCTCCGGGCAGTTAAGATTTCAGTAAAAAACAAAAACAAAACGTGTAAAAGCCACCTGAGGAACTCACCCCGTGCAAGCCTGCCCTAGCCCTCTGCAGACAAATGCCCCCACCTGCCATTAAAGGCCATCAGTGCCTTGCTGGGGGGAAGAGTCTCTCCTGGCACCAGGAGGATGGCAGAGCTGGTGCCCGCAGGCTTCTGTCCACATTCACAATGTTCACGATACCCGGCACTGCCCGATGGTTGCTCCAGGATGGCAGTGCTCCTTTATGAAAAAGCATCTTTCTTTCCTCAAGGTGGACCTCACATTTACGAGATCCAGCCTTCCTTCCAAGTTTGGCTTCCTTCTGGAAGTATTCGGGAATTGGAGATACTGCATATGAACTGCTCTAGTTCCTCCCTCTTCCCCATGGATGATCCAGAAAAAAGTGCAGGCGATTCTCATTAGGTCTTGCTAGGCAGCAGCCAATTAATAGGCACTGGTGGCGGGCCAGACAGGGCCCAGGTGGCCACACGTGAGGACAGCCCTGAAGGGGCTCTTCAACCTGGGACAGCCGAATCCAGTTGCCGGAGCCAGAGCCGGGGCGACTCCTCTTTCTTCTCCGCTGACCCAGCAAGCGCGAACTCTGGCTGGCCGGCCAGTCAAGAGCAGCCACGTACTTGGTCTTAAGGAAAATCCGTTCGAATGATGGAGGAGCTTATTTCTGTTAAGCAAATTATGAGGAGGCGGGCAAAGTCCTGAATGCGATAATTCCCCCTGCATTATTTATGGGGAACCAGCAATTACATTGCAGAAAACAGTTTGTCTGCATAACGCGCACTTAATTATCCAACCTGCCATTATAAATCCAGACACAGCCAATCAGCAGCTTCATCAATAAATTACCTGAGACAGGACTTCAAACTTGGGGGCTGGGATGGGGCCGGGCGATGAGGAGGCGGCCGGCCAGCAGGCCACAGCACGACCGGAAGCTGCCCGGGAAGCGAGGCGAGGGGGCTGCAGCTCCAGAGGCGGGAAGCGGGGCTCTTTCCTGCACACTCCGCTGAAATCAGTTGCAGCATATCTGGTGATCCTCTCCCAGGGCTAACAGCCTCTCTGCATAGCTTCCCCCCACGCTCTTTCATTTGTTTGGCAGGGGGTAATTCAAATAGAAATTCGTAATTTGATTGGGGACTAATCCTATTCAGCAGATCCAATTCTGCTTATTTCCGCCTGGAATTGGAAAGATGGGAAATCCATCTTCAGAGTGGGCAAGAGTGCTGGCAGGCCTCTCTCCTCCCTGTCCGCAGCCATCCCCCGTGGTGGCCGTTGCTACCCCTTGTGGTCGCCAGCTCCCAACATCAACCATGCACACTGCCTAGAAACCACGGCGCTCGCCAGTGAGCTCCCTGGGACCCCCCTCCGCATTCCAGCACCATGAGACGGCCATCCCCACCTAGCATTGTCCCTGTCCGCTTCCTCCACACATCCAGCACGACATGGCATCTTGGGCCCTCCCCTCTACTCACCTCTTCCTCCGAGCTCAGCGGGTCTCAATGTTGCAAGCTTTCCTTGCTGGGGAGTTGCTGCAATCCCTCAGAGACTTTGGTGGCCCTTTTCAGCTCCTTTTCTGGCTCTGCCGTATCTGGTTAGCAAGAACGAACTGCCGTATTCCGGCTGGGTCAGGCCATAGATTTGCACGAAGGCCTTGTGATGGCTGCAGCTTTACTTCTGAGTTAATTAGCAACTGGATGTTTGCTAGTCCTCCCAGGTGGCTGAGCTACGATTTAAAGAAGCACATGACCCGACAGGGGATTCCGGCCCCGGGCACAGAATAGTGAGCTTCCAAGGTGGGCATGAGGAGGCTGTGAGAAGCTAGATGGACAGACCTTCTAAGTGTTGTGTTCCTTTCCGCCTGTTCATGAAGGAATCTGAAATTTGGGGCCTTTTTGTCCAAAGAGACTGTACAAAAGCCTCTGCTGTCTGTGCCAACCTGACAGCTGTTCCCAGCACAGAGGGGGCCCTGCTACCCCTGCCTGCAATGCAGCTTTTAAAGAGGCGCCCCATGGAAAAAAAAAGAAAGGGGCACCCCAATTCTGCACCAAGGTGGCCCAGGTTCATAGATACCTGGGCCACCTCCATAGTCTGTCAAAACTCTCAGCCCAGGTAGGTGAAGCTGCAAATTCTGCATTCTCCTGCATGCATCTTGCATGCAAACAGGGCGCCTCTGATCTTTCCCATGCAATCAATGAAGGGATGTGCAAATCTGGAGAAAAATCTCATCAACGAAATGAGCTAAACAAAATTGCCACTCACCCTTGTGGAAGAGGCTTGCCCGGCATTTGCTGGACTGCACTGGAACCGCAGGGTAGATGCTGGCCATTCCCATGAGGCTCCGGCCCCGTTCTCGCTGGGCTACTCAGAAGGAAAAGGCCCCAGAAGACCGACTAAAGTGCTGAAGCATCCATGTCTCTCTGGCTCACAAACACCCGGACCAGGCCGACCTGAGAGGGGAGGGGCGGGAGAGGAGGAAACCGGCCAGTCGCCTGCTCTTTCCTTCCCAAATTCCTGGCCCAGACACCCACGGCCAAGACGCCCCCCTGCCTGCCGCCTCGCAGCATGGTGGCCAGGGAGCCCCTCGGCCCCTTCCTCTCCAGCGGCTGAGGCGGGGCGGGAGCGTCTTGGCAAATGCAGCAGTGGCCGTGTTATTCCCAGAACCTTTCCTGCTGCTCCTGGACAGTGATTAGCACAAGATTTGCACCCAGACGCTGGGGGGAACAGTTGCAGGGTGGAATCCTGCCTGGCAGGCCAACCTGCACGGCTGCATTTGCTGCACCAGACGCTGCCCGGGCTGCTCCTGAATCTTTAATAGGAGAGAAATGAGTGTTTTTTTCCTTTAAAGATTTACCATGTATAAATGTATGAGAATATTAAAGGCAACAATTAACTTTATTGGAAACCTTAT